GATAAGTTGCATTGTGTTTAGTGGAGGACTTTATGGTTTACTAGTATTAGCTAACTGATGTAAATCAATACTTCTTGCAATAATTAGTCGATCATTTCAATCCTTTTTCAATGCGAAAAAAGTTCTGGTCCCAGCATCTCAAATGTGAGTATTTGCTGTGTCTCTTAGTCATATCTGACAGTACATTGAATATCTTATGACTTTAGACTAACTTGAAGACTCGAAATGTCTGCAATTTGCTAGTTTTCTCCGAATAAGAAATTGTGAGTGCCATTTTTTCACTATTTTTTACCATTTCACAAGCAATTAATCAATTCGTCATGAAAAGAATCAACACGTTAATCAATAATGGAAATAATTGTTAGTTGCAGCCTTATCATTGTTGTGATATTGTTGTTTGTTATTGTTTGTATGTCGTACATATACGTACACAATACATGAAGTAGAAATTGAATGGCTTGACAAACAATTTCACCCCATTCGTAATTTCATGGATAATTACTTTCACCAGTGAACTCATTTAGCATGCGAAACTACTGATAAGATTATTTTGGAAATGGAATAACTATAGGGGCCTCAATAAGGACAACACACTCTGTTAGTGATGATTTGATTTGTAAACGTTTTAACCAACTTAACCAAGCGTAGGACCAACCCCAAATTTTTTGTGCAGTAGGTTTATAGATGGTTGGAAGAGAGAAGGAGGAAAGTATCCAGAGCTGGAGCTAGAAATGAGGTAAACTGGTGAAATAAGGTGAATTTCACACAACTTCATTTAACTGCTCTTGCAACTGCAAAACCACTCTTCTTCAATTTTTTTTTTTACCTTTGTATCATTTTTTTGTTCTTCATACCCTTTTTCAGTACATTAGCTGTTCATAAGTGTTCATTTATTTTACACTAGAGCTGCAGTCATTGTAGAAATTCAGAGCTGAAACTGAATATACAGGAGCTTACGTCTCTAGAGGTAACCACTGTAAATGGCTGAAATGTGAAATGTCAGTGTAAGGCATTGGGCGGTAGATTCCTCTCTAATTATATAGCTCATGAAGCTTATTATTGGCATTGACTGTGCTGCACTGTAGGTAGCCCCGAGCAATGCCAGGAAAAATGCACCTTTGGCTTTAATCTAGTTTGTATTCGTCATTTATTCAGGTGATTCTTTTATCTTGGCCTTTATGTGTCGGTAATGAGAGTTTGTAGTATTTTTGCAGTGTTTCTGTGGCTGTCTGGAGAATGTCTCCACAGCTAGAGGATTGTTATTCAGACTAGTGGGTGAGAAGCAACTGCAGCATCAGGACAGAAAGTCTGAAAGTTGTGTGTGTGTGTGTGTGTGTGTGTGTGTGTGTGTGTGTGTGTGTGTGTGTGTGTTGGAGGTGGGGCCGTTATGCTAGATTTGTGTTCTCACACAAAACAATGCGTATAGCTGACTACGTGTGTCTGTATATGTGTTACTTTTTATGTTGTGCTGTATTGCAGTGAATTTGTTCTTGCTGTCATGTGAAATACAAACAAGCGGCCGGTCTAGACACATAAGCACTATACAGAGAGAGGTAAAGAATGAGGGAGGGGAATGTATGGGAGAGACACACAGAAAACAACACCAGAGAAGCAAAGAGAGCTAAGATATATAGTGTGTAAAGTACTGTGTTACTTCAGCATCATATTTTCTTCCCCGTTATGCAATCTGAACAAATATGAATTCGATTTTGCATGATTGAGGGGGCTTTCCAAATGCACAGACACAAATGAAATGAATCAGCGAGAGGCTGGGATAGCTGCAGAGGAAGATGCAAGGATGCAGAGGCTGGATATACTGTGTCGAGTAATGCAGATAAAGAGTGTGCAGTTAAGAACCCGAGAAGACAGGAGATTGTACACAAACAAACAAATATGTGGAGATGCTGAGACAACAAGTGAGGGGAGGCAATGAGAGGTAGAGGTAGAGGAAGTCCCAGGAGACCTATTGTGTCCGATTCTTTTACTGTGATGATGATGCACCGTGCCGCTGGTCCCCTCCTCTCATTAAAGCTTTATGAGGCAAGCTTAGCACACATTTTATTACAATGACGCCACTGTCTGGCACATTCCAGCCTTGCGGCGGGGTGGTGGTGGGGGTGGTGGTGGTGATGGTGGTGTTGGTGGTGGTGGTGGAGGAGGAGGAGGAGGAGGAGGAGGAGGAGAGTCTTGCAGAGAAACAAGCCCATCGAGACACACATCAGAAAGGGAAACATGGGAGAAACTAAGAATGAACAAGTCAGAGAGACGAAGCCAGGATCAGAAGGCATAGATAGAAAGTAAGGGAATAAGGGAGTGAGGAGGTAAGGATGGAGGAGGGCAACAGAGAAAGAACGAGCGGAATGAAGAATATTTGTTATGTGCTCTGGGCCTGTGTGTCTGAGTGTATGGTTGCAGATGTCTTGGTATTATTTAAAAATAGAATGGTTAGGGATTAAGGCTATCAATATTTCCTTAAGTTTTGATGAAGACCCAGGAGGTTGGTGAAAAATACAATTTCCAGACAGTGATGTCACAAACTGCATCTAGGCCAGCAGATTTAGTAAAGTTTAAAAAAAATAAGTCATCTGTTGGCATGGGAGCAGCACTCCTGTTACCCAATATGCCAGTTCACATGTGCAATGCTTTTCTATTTTTGCTCTGTTCCTTAAAAACAGCTGATCCCAGAAATACAAATTCATTTAAAAGCAAGAAAGACATTTGCTATGACACTGTTGTCAAAGAAATTAAATTGTATGTGGATTTTCTTTTATCCTTAGACAGTATAAGGACATAATTTCCCTCAGCCAAGAGCCATTTCTCATCATGCCATCATGAATTTTCCCTGTGTGTTTCACTTTGAATATGTCTCCACTTGCTATTTGCTATAATTCTTGTCATTTCTCTGTGATTTTGATTTTTAGATGAACATTTGCTCTTCCCTTGTGAGCACTTAATTATAATGCCACCTTCAGTGATTTAGCATAAACATCTTTGTGCATTCCAGGTACTAGACTGTTCTGGTGTCTCGGTAAAATATAGCACCTGTCATTAAGTAGTTTATCACACACAGCCTCATCTCTGCAACCATCTATCATGTTGGTATGTGCCCTGACGTACCAAATAAAACCTGGAAATGCCATAAAAAATCAACTCAGAAGACACTAAGTAAGTTGACTTTGAGGACACCATGACTCAGCTCTTGCTGAATGACGCATTCTAAGTACGTAGAATGCTAGTACTCTGAATTGAAGACATTTAGCTCCTGTCATAATCGGAGACTAAATCCCAGCCTTATCGCCTCCTGGGTGCAGAGGCCTCGGCTTTGTTTAATTGCCACAAGCCAAACCGTCAAAGCTGCATCTCCCTCAGTGTTTACCCCCACTGAGGCTTATAGCTGATAATGGAATTACTCTGAGTCCCAGGAGGAGGGAGAGAGAGGGAGGAACAGACAGAGGAGGCAGTCGTATAGGAGGAGAGGCAGAAGAGATGAAGGAAAGTGGATGGTGGAAGCTGAAAGAGATAGGATGGATGCGGTGTCTTCCCTGAAAAGAGAAGAGAGAGGAAAAGGGATGAGATGATGTGATGCACAAGGAGATGAAGAGAGGGAGAAAGAGAGAGGAGGTTACAGGGGGATGGCCAGCTGTTGCCAAAAGCAAAGTCTGCAGTCCTCCCGTCTTACTGTTTACTCCAGTGTGACGTGTTACAGGCTGGAGAGTGAATTATGACGCAGGATAGAGCTCAAGCTCAAAGCATGCCTGCCTGACAGAATCTAGCTGAAAGGATGAATGGAGCTAAAGAGAGAAAGGAGGGGAGGAAATAAAAGGATAAATCATTAGATAGAGAAAAGCGAAACATCAAATAGAGGAACATTAAATAGTTTAAAAAGACAAATGAGTTGATACACACTTTTAGTCACTTCACTTGCTTAATTCTTAGAAAGTGACATGTTTGTGTGCACACTTTGGTTGATTTGTCTGAATATGCAGGACTCCCTGATTTACACAGCAAGTACCTTTTTTTTTTTCTTTTTTTTTTTTTTGGTGGAGCCGCATGGATGAATGACAAACCAAAGCAGAGGGAAGATTTTTGTGGAAGCGAGATAGCGGAGGACGTCAGTGCCTCTCTGTCATGGTTGAAAGCTTCAGGGTGTTTGAAGACTGAGTTGCAGTGTTGTAGTGGAAAATGACTTCACATTTGAAGTGAGCTCGCTACTCGGTCAAGGGTTTTGTATCTGTGTGTGTGTGTGTGTGTGTGTGTGTGCGTGTGTGCGTGTGTGTGTGCGTGCAAGCATGGAGGGATCTTAAGGATATTAAGCTCTTAGCAGGTGGGGTTATTTGACTGTAATTTCCTTAACAACTGTAATGGGCAGCCATGCCAGTTTTGGCTCGTAGGAATGATTTTATGCTAGTAAGAAAATTCTAAAATTGCTTGCCGAAGGCTTGTAGAGTAGTCTGATTTCCACACGTTCGTACAAATGTGTGGGCTTACACTTTATAATTACATGTGTATGTATGTGAGGTGGGAGAGGAGGCTGTGTCTCATGTTGCTTTGGATAAAATAAAAGTAATTTTTCAGAGGAAACTCAACAAAATTTTAGTAAAAATATTTTATCTCAAATTTCATTAGACTTTTTTTTTACTACTATTTTTAGTAAACCAGTCACACTTATGGATGATCACACACCACTCAGAGAGCGGTGTTTGTGTGTCTAATTAGCAGTGAGAAGATGGAGCTGACACAGGCTGAAGCTGTCGCTCATTAAAATGGTTGACATGTTTAACCAGATTCCACAGTGTGAATTTATTTAAGGACCATATGTCTTTCTCTGTTCTATCCTCTTCTTTGCTCTTTTTCTACTCTGTTAATTTGCTAAATCAATTGGGTCACTGGGTATACTCTATATTTGTGTTTCCTAATTTCTTTCCATTTAATCTTCTTTTTTCCTTCTTCCCTCCATCCTCAACACTCCTCTCTCCTGTTCTCTTACATCCTCACATCAGTCTGTTCTCAGTATTCAAGGGGCGTCTTTGCCATCTTCGGCCTTTACGACAAGCGCTCAGTGAACACGCTGACGTCGTTCTGTGGGGCCCTGCACATCAGCCTTGTGACACCCAGTTTCCCCACTGAAGGAGAGGGCCAGTTCACCCTGCAGCTCCGGCCGTCCATCAGAGGGGCTTTGCTTTCACTGCTGGACCACTATGACTGGAGCCGATTTGTCTTCCTCTACGACACAGACAGAGGTAAATATACACTTACACTCGGTGTGCAAAGAGCTGGTGTTACTAAAAAATGCGAAAATATACGATTTGTATAGTGTATAGTCCACATTAAGAAATATAAACAGGGAATACAATGATTCACTCAGTGTTATTGTTGGACCTTAAAGCTGATTTGTCCTTTTATAATATGAAAGCTTAAAGTAAAAAAATGGATAAGTCATTATTGGTCAGTGGGTTTAGGGATTGAGGGAGGGGAATGCATGACTGGAGTGAGTTCAAGTAAATGTTTTAAATCACACCAGTTGCCATCAAAGTGCTGCAGTATCACTGTTTTGTTATAAGCAAGTCTTGGCCTTACATTACCTCATGTATCTACTCTATTTTCCTCCCTTGTTGGTTTTAAAGAGAAAGGTCAAAGAGGGATTTAGGGAAAGTATGCAAAAGGAGCTGCAACTCACTATTATAGTCAACACTCATTGTATACCAGAACTGTCCAAATGACTATAACTGGAGCAGCATTGTGTTCTTACGGCAGAGAATCATGAGCTCTGCTGTGATAACAAGAGCCACTGTAACTGTGTAGATCTGTTGTCTTCAATCTCTAGGCCTGAATTCAAAACTCAGTTATGGAAGATCAAAATAGATTTCCAAATTAGTCTGGTTCAAAACACTTTTTTGCATGAGGAGTTATCTGCTAATTTGGTTTCATTTTGAGAACAATATTAGAATATCATTAAATCATAATCATATTGTTCAAAGTCTATTTGCCTGGGATTATTTGGCCTTAATTTAACTCCCAAATTTTGCTTCATTTTCTGTGGAAAAAGTATAAACATGGAGCCAGTGGAGCTGCACTATCCTGATGAAAAGATACAGCTGCAGAAACAAGGGTGTAATTTGGCACTTTTCAGCCAGAAACTCGGGTCTGGCCTCAACTCTTCCAGCGTTCACCTGCCTTTAATTTAACCATCCCATCATGCAGTGCATGTAAGTTAGTGAAGCGGGCACAGCTGATGCCCTCAGCCCTTAACTACTGTCATGGGAATGCTTGGCACGTTATCTCTCTCTCTCTCACACACACACACACACACACACACACACATACACACACACACACACATATGCAGACACGCACACACGCACACAAACAGAGACTAATTCCCTGCCACAGGGAGAGAAACACAGGTCAAACATGACGCAGAGTCCCCAGACCACAGAATAGCGGCGTGTTAGGGAATCAGTGAGCTGCACTGTGTGTGTGTATATGTGTGTGAGTGTGCAGTTGTGTGTGCCCTGTCTGTGCCTCTGCCAGCCTCCCTCTGGTCCAGGTTGTCTGGGTTAGTACCCAGGGGGAGCAGAGGGAGAAAGAGAAGGGAAGAGGGGGAGCAGGAGAGACAGGTTAGGAGAGCTGAGCCGGCGGAACAGCGAAAAAGGCGAGAAAGAGGCAGGGACAAGTGCCAATAGAGGGAGGAGGAGACAAACAAGGTGGCAGGAAGAGGAGATTGTGGAGGTAGATGGGAGGCAGTGGAGGGAGGCGGGGGGGGGGGGAAGGGGGAGGTGGGGGGGGGGGGGGGGGGGGGGGGGGGGGGGGGGGGGGGGGGGGGGATTACAGAAAGGGCAGAAAGGAAGAGCAAGAGGATAGACAGGATCACAAGCCTCTGGGGATATACAGTAGCATATAGCAGGTGGAGGAGGGGTGAAGATTGAGAGAATGGGCAAAAGGAGGGGGGAAATGGAGCGAAGGATGGATGCATAGAGTTTGGGCTGTGCTCACCCGTGACTTGGCCAAGGCAGTGCCGTTCATTATAGGCTCCCATCAGGCCCTGCTGCCGGTAATGTGCTGGAAAATGGGCAGTAACGTTGTGATCTGTTTTATGCTCCCTGCTCTGCTCTGCTCTACAGACAGCCTGCTGACACACACACACACACACACACACACACACCACATATACACAAATTGAGGTGTGTCCACGTAGCTGAACACGGGCACACAGAAAAAATGCATACACACATGCACACACATACCAAGACGTGCATAAATTCACATCCAGCGGATGAATGTATGTGCATTCTGTGCATGCCTTAAATTATGATGGTGCAAACAAAACACGTTCACATAAACAACTCGCAGACAAGTTCAACCCTTTACAAACATGCATTCATTTAGACACACTTATTTACAACCTCACTTGTGAGGCTGGAAAGGTGAAAGCACAATCTCCCAGCACACATGAGGACGGACTCCGCCTCTTCGCAACGTAAACCACAATAATACACACACCTTTGCACGCATAACCGTGATTACTGAGGCTTCAGATGTGCTCTTTGCTTCAACTGACGCAGTAAATAGCTCCCGACACAAAAGTAGAAAACGCAGGGTAACATTTCGTAATGTTGCACTGCAGTGTTGGTGTGTGTGTTTTATGTCATTTGGTGTTGTTGTATACATGTGTGCAGGCCGCAGGCATATGCTGTGTGGGTCTGTGATTTTCAGTGTGTGCGTGTGAGTGAATTTTGACTTGTTTTTAATTTCATTTTCATCCAATTTCCATTCCGTGTCAAAGCAGGGTTAAGAACATATGTGGGGGTTTGAAACAGGTTACAACCATCAAATGCACCAACTGTGCTCCAATATTATAAATTATTATTACCGTAATATTGAGCTGTTTTTCATTGCTGTCATTTTTTTCCAGTTGTTTGACCCATTCAGACAGCTGTTCGATCTAATGCTGCTCACTGGATCATATTAACTTTGAAACTCTGTCTAAACCCGTCTAAAATTACAGGAGGCAGACTCACACTGTTCAATGCTGCACTCAATCATTTTGTAGAAAAAGAAGGCTCCTTTCTGGGTTTTGTTCCAGGCTATAAAATTGATAAGTGGCAGTGTGTTCTCAGATGAGTTGCATTTGAATCAAAGTTCACTACTAAAAAAGAAGCAATGAGAATTTCAATAAAAATGTCATGGCAACAGTATCACTTTCAATTAAACTGGCAGTCTATTTTTTTGGCTCATAACTCTTTGTCCTGATAAGCTCTGTGGGTTGCTTGATAAAGTCGCATTCAAGACAGAACTGTTGCTCGGAGTGCTAAGGGCTTTACCCCCTCTTTTGAAGACGAGACATTAGAGTATTGTTTTGGTAAATGATATCGGCTGATGAAGCTGCTGGAAAGTAATGAACACCTGGAAACGCTGTGCTGATTTAAGCATTTAGTGCAGTCACATTGTGGTAATTGGCTTTAGGTTTTACTTGCAAAAACTGCAAAATATAATTACTCCATGTTCCACCTACAGCCTCTACCTACCCAACCACACCATTAATTCTTTCTCTCTTTTTTCCCCTTCCTTTACTCTCTGTTGTCTAGGTTATGCAATACTGCAGGCAATTATGGAGAGAGCGGGGCAGAACGGATGGCAGGTCAGGACACACACAAACACGCACATTCTTGGAAAACACGACAAATAAACAAAAAAATACACGCAAGGACACCCCTAATCTCATGCGCCATACATACAACCTCACACACAATGCATACATAATACTTTGGTTTGTGTCATATATTCTTCAAACACCATTGATAACTTGCTTGTGGTGTGTATGTATGAGCTGATTCCTACATGCATTTTGCGTTTGAATGCATATACACACATGCATGCGTGTATGTTAACCCAGGTGAGTGCAATCTGTGTGGAGAGTTTCAATGAGGCAGCGTATCGCCGACTCCTAGAGGACCTGGATCGACGTCAAGAGAGGAAGTATGTCATTGACCTGGAGCCTGAGCGACTACAGAACATCCTAGAACAGGTAATATTATTGATTATTATGAGATTAACCAAACTACCTTAGCACATAACATTAACCATATGGCTGCAATAGACATAGGGGTCAGCAGGATCATCAGGATGTAAACTCACCTTACTTCCATGTGCCACCATTTTTACGCCAGGATAATACTTATGCACTAAATAATAAGTAGGTTGGAAAAAAATTAAAAATGAGGTAATTACTAATAATTAACAAAGAAATGAAGTATAAATTAAACATGTTAAACTTGTACTTTTGTAAGGCTCTGTTACAATCACTGAGATTACTACAGACAGCAGAGATCACATCACTGACCTGGACTTAACAGCACTTAATATTTCATAATGAGGTATAACCACACTACAGTGGCACATTATTACAACGTTAAACCACAGTCAACGGAATCGGCTGTGGTAAGTAATGAAAATGAGACCCTGAGAGAAGAATTTTAAGCAATTAGAGTCAGTATTGCATTACTAATTATTATTGTATTGCATAATATATCTTTTTCTTTATTTTGCTATATTACTGGTGTCTGTCTGCCTGCTGTCTGCTCCAGTCAGCTAGTTGCAACAGCACTCCTTATGCTTTCTGACATCTGGAAAGAAAACAAGGTTTGAGATTTCCCCTGGAGTTCATAATGTGGAATGAAAGATGTGGCTTCCCCAACAGCCACATCAGTGTGTTATTGCAGTAAACACACCATACTGTCCACTCAGATACAGATATCGAGAAAACACAGCGCTCCTGCACACAGTATATGAAGACACACTCTGGCACCTTATGCTTGTCCAAGTTCATTAGATTATCTGTCTTGCTTGATGGTTGAGTCTTGAGCTCTGACCAGGTGGTGCAGTAAATGCAGATACTCGTACAGCTACACAGACACACATCAGTAGCAGCATCCCAGACAGACAGACCAACAGACTGTTTCTTAATTGGCTTCTGTGGTGAGTGAACACACAGGCAGAGACACACACCTACACACGCACACACACACACTCACACACACACACACACACACACACACACACGCACAAGCACATAAGTGTATCCTGAGACAGGCATACAGACACAAACACACACTCCCATCACAGTGGGCTCTACAGTGCTGGCATTGGCTAGTGTTCCTGCTCTGAGACAGAGACTGCTCTGTTTGTCTGCCCCTGCCAGCTGCGATCGGTGGGTGTGTGTATGTGTGTATGTGTGAGTGTGTGCGCTCTTCTGTCTGTGTCAGTATATAGCGGTTGATATGTGTGGGTGAGAGAGACGGAAAGAAGAAATAAAATTGGACGTTTTAATTAGGTTTATGCACCATGTGAATATAACACAATGTGACATATTTCACTCAATCCCACTGTAGAGAAAAAAATGATGTTTTAAAAGCATTGGAGTTTTCTGTTTTGAGCAGATTTGAAGTTTGACTGAACTACGGTGCCAAACGTTCTGCTATGATATCTCGCACAAATATACCAGCAGCAGCAGCACACAAGACAGACAGGCAGTAGTAATTTCTGTTCACTGGTAACATGTAATAAAGTGCATGAAGTGGAAAAGACAAGGTGTTGAGGTCAAGGTGGTATATAATGCCGCTGCCATTTACATAGTAAATTAGGTTTTATGGTTTTAATTGCGTGAATTTAACCATATCCCAAACAGGCTTTAGTTGCATTAAGTTGATGTTGTAGGGAAACAAACAATACTAAAAATGTGTTTGTGTGTTCGCATTTAACAAATCTGCAAAAAATGTTGTCATTGACCATTTAGTGTGTGTGTGTGTGTTTTTCAATCAGTTGACATTATATTTCCCCAATCTGTACTCTGCTAATACAAAATGTGAATTCAGTTCTTGTAATTAAAGGTGCCTTATCAAGGATTATACTAAAATAAGTTGAATCATCCTTCTCACGAGATGCAGGCTTTGTTCTTTTTTTTAATTAAGTTGAATCAGGCTGGTTAACAGACCCCTGATCCAGACAACGCTGCTGAAGCTCTTTAAATGTTCCAAGAGGCTGCAGCGCCAGTATGGTACCAATGACCAGTCGAGTCCTCAAAGGCTCTTCCCGGTTTCTGCTTTTAATCAGCATAAGAAAACTGTTTGGGGGAAGCAACGGAGCCATAGATGGGAGGGAGTCTCCTTTACTTGTAGTATGACTCTGCTGCCTGTCCCTAAAACTTAATTAACACATTGTGGATTGTGAATACACCCTGGCTTGCCACACTACAGGCATGACAACAGACAGCAAAGAAATAATGTTTCTCTCTCTCTCTCTCTCTCTCTCTCTCTCTCTCTCTCTCATTTTCTTTCCCAGGCCGTCAGTGTGGGGAAACATGTAAAAGGTTACCATTACATCATAGCCAACCTGGTAAGAACTCTTAATGGCATTGCTTTTAGCTGTTATTTGGACATGTGTTTGCAACAGTGCTGTAACATGCCAGAGACATCAGAGAGCAGGTTGTTTGGACCTACAACAGACTCACAAATATTAGCAATATGAAGCTTTATATAAATATTAAATATTAATCAATCAATGTCCTACTTGCCCCTACTTTGACATTCAACTTGTCCCAAAGTTGTTTATTGAGCTGCAGTTATTAGCAGAAAAAAACAAAAACTGTTTGACGGACTCATATTCTTACTCCCATGTTCCCACAAAAGTGCCATTTTTCCTTTTACTCAAGAATTAGCATATTACCATTTGCCTCTCCTCGAGAAAGTCACAGCCGTAGGATGATGCCAGAACCCACATCAGTAAATGAAGTATTGCTACAGCCTTAATCCCTAAAATCTGTTCAATAGCAGTTCTCTCTGGGACGGCGAAAAAAGGGGCCACTGAGCTCAGGTCAAGCTAGATAGGTTCTCAGAGCTTTTAGCAATTAGCATCCATCAAACCAGGATAACCCTCACATGTCTTTACTCTCTACCTCTGTGTCTGGCCTTTTCCCAAATGGATCGCTCTTCACGACTGCTTCACTATGAAGTGTCACACTCGCAGCTGTGGAAGCCACTTCTTATTAAGTAGGGGTATAAATAATCAAGTAAACTCTGGAGTATGATACATCAGTAAAAGTGCACATACTCTTTCAGAGGGTTTTGTTATATATATTTCCGCTCTTCGGCATCAGGTCTGGCATGGTTTTTCAGTTTTTTTCTGTGCTTGCATCATTCCTTTTCTCATATTATTTCTTTCTCTCCCAGGGTTTTAAGGATATATCTCTGGAGAGGTTCATGCACGGCGGGGCAAACGTGACTGGTTTCCAGCTGGTGGACTTCAGCAAGCCTATAGTCATTAAACTGATGCAGCGCTGGAACAAACTGGATCAGAGAGAGTACCCTGGATCTGATAGCCCACCTAAGGTGATAAAACATGTTGTCCCATCCATAAAATGTACAGATTGGAAACCTATGTGTCCATAAGAGCTGCCATAACCTAAGCGAATGTCATTTGCAATAAACACAAAGGCACACACACAGTCACATTCTGTGGTGGTGGCATTGTTTTTTTCTCACCTGAAATTCACCAGCAAAGCCAAATATACGGCTCGTTCAATCAGGTAACCAGTCACAGGGTGATGTGCTGCATTTCGAACCATTCAGAGATGTGATATGTGATATGGTACATTCGGTACAGCTCTTTAGCCAATCAGAGTGTGACCTCAGGATGTAGCACAGGTGAATTAGCTTGTGATTGAGTAGATAGATTCCTGTATGATTCTGTCATTCAGTGTCAAGGTTAACGTGATGTATGCAGATTCTTCAGGTTAAAGATTTCTTTGTAATGTCTATCCAGCACGATGTTCCTCCATGATGGCTCGGTTGGCCCTTCCCGTTCCCCTTCCCCATCACCAGTTTTGCCTCCAAATGCACAATTCCACCCCTTGTATATATGTGTATCTCTCACTGTATATTCACCATCCTCAGTGTCAATTTCCTCTCACTATCCATGTCTCTTCCTCTGTCACATTAGTGTGCCTCTATTTAGTCTCTTCCATTCTGCCCTTCCTTTCTGTCTCTGTCTCTTTGTCCCTCTCTCCTCCCTCCGCACACCTCTATTGACCGGGTACTGACCTGCAGCCAACTGCGGTTGATTTGTGCATATATTAACTGGAAATATGTCCACCTACCTATTAAAAATACATCACGCTGCAGCTTTCTGTCCCTTGCTCTCTGGCTCACGCTCACAGGCATGCAGCCACTTTCAGAAGACACATGACGTAGTAACTATAAAAGGTGATGTTGTTTGTTGTGCAGTCTCTCAGTGATGCAAAAATATATTGATGGTCATGTTCCTTTATTATCGGCATGTCATTTTTCACCCGTGGACCTGTGTTAATGGACCAATCATCATTCTCAGATTCACCTGATGAATTCTCATTAGCAGACGTCAGCTGCATCAATTGTCCCTTAACATTTACGCAACACTTTGTGTGTTAATCGAGGTAAACCTATTATGCATGTTTGTGAGAGATAGACCCAGTGAACATGCTTAGATATTCACAATCAAGACAAACACAACTGCTGTTGTTTTCAGCTTCCTGAACTGTAAACATCTTTGATAAAGTGCATTCAACCGTTCTCTGCCCGCTGCGACCACAAAAGATGATGTTTTACCTTTGCCTTTTGCAAATAAGAAACACGATTTTAATGATTTAACACAACAACAGAAAACCAGATATCTCTGGTGACAACAGATGCCTCCAAATTGCTCAAGGCTAATTGGTGCTATGTAAAAACTGAGCTCAGTTTAGCCTTGGGCCAACTCATAGCCTCGGGCCAAGTAGAACTAATAATGTGCAGTGTGAAAAGCACTATTGGGACTTGTCCCTTTTGCACCGGAGACACGATTTTGAGCTAGCTGCTTTTGGCCATCAATCAAAATCTCTTAACCCAGCGATTCTAGACTGGTGTGCCTTGAAATGAGCTCCGGTGTGCCTGGAGATTTTGTTGAAATGTAATGAAAATGATCAGTGACCTGGCAAAGTAATATTTTAACTTCATCAAAATGCCGCCACAATGCTTATGATCACGAATATCTTTTCCAAGTTGCACTGCTTTTTGAGCATTTTCCATCTATTTTTTTCACACATTTCCCCTAATTGCATGATCAGAATATGAATAGATTTAGAACATCTGTGTTTGCATATTTAACCGATAATCAGGGGTGTACTTTATCAATATTTGTCCATGTGTAAAGCATTTAATGCTTGCCAGACACCAGCGCAAAGCTCATTTTATAAGATAAATATGAAATTCAAAATGGATTTAAAGCTAATGTCTTCAATTTCTCATCTCATTTGACAAGAACAATTGATGTGTGTTTTTGCGTATGTCATTTACGCTGCCTCTATATTTTGTTCCCTTTAGTATGGTGTATGATGAGGTTATTTAATGTCATTGAAAAGCATAAATATGTAGCAGTCTTTGCACTGAATTTATAAATGCATAAATATTATCCTGTTCAGCTGCACACATGCATGAGGCAAATGGCCACTTGCACAGTTACAAGCGATTGGACACCAAACAGATATGTGCCGTCCTCAGCTTGACACTGGCATTGTCCTCGAATGGTGCAACTTTTAATTATTGTGTCCTTATGCTGATGTTGTGACTCGTAACTGCCTGATGATTGATTCCAAATTATCTGATTTGTTTTATGTATATTCCAATTTTACTTTATGATGTAGATTACAATGTCATATAACAAGTCAATATTGTTATTATGTAGAACACATAAAACAAGACTGAGAGTCTACAGCCATGATAACAGCTCCGTGAGGCTGTACTTAGGCTGTTCACCATCTTAAGTTACCGTGTTCGTATGCTAACATTTGCTAATTAGTGCTAAACACAAAGTACAACTGAGGCAGATGGGATTGTCATTAGTTTTGCAAATCTCTCAAAAATTTCATGAAAATTATAGTTGAAACATTTCAGTCTGGACCACAGTGGTGGATGGACCGAAAGCTCAACCACAGTGCTAGTGTGTAAAAAATATGCATGAATACAAAATGAATGAAAAGATTTAATTGCTTTATCTCACTCAGGTCAGTTCACTCATAAAAGTCTGTATACAGAAATACAGAAAGATATATTTTCTGCATACATTTTTTATATTATAGTTTGTGTGTGAAAAGTGCTGCATGCTTTCTTTTATTGCATACATAATTTATAAATATGGTCCTTGGCCTTTATATGGAACAGTAGAGTAAACTTGAACTAGGCTTTATGTTTTATGCTATTTGAGGATTTTCAGAGGAAATCTGTTATGACTTTATGGATTTTAGCTGTACTTGGAGATTTGAACTGATCCTAGAAATATTATCTAGAATTTGGTGTTTTTGAAAGCCAACACTGTTTTCTATATGTCCCAAAGGTGTTTCTGTCCTGCTCCTGACAGAAACAGAAAACAGTATGCTAGTTGGCTCAGTTTTGTTGTTGTTTTCCCCTTGATTTGGATTCCATAGTCGTCATCTGTCAGTTGCCCGCCTAAAGGCTTCTTTAGTTTCAAAGGGGACAGATGAAAGGAGGATGACATGGTTGTGCAGCCTTCCAAAACACGCCTTGTGGGATACAAATCAAGGGATGTCAGTAAGACAGAAAACTACCTGCAGAGGCGTGGAGAGCATCAGCAGAGTTTCCCTCTTTCCTCCCATTTTCATCTCGCCTCTTGTTTCTGCCGTGATGTGAAGGCAGCCTGCTGTGTGTTTGACTGCCTGTGTCTGTGTGGTGCTGTGTGTCTGTGTGTGGGCTGGGTATGAGTGTTGCTGCTGAGTGTGTGCTGCTGTTCCCTGCTGTGCTGTTTCTTACCTATAATGAATTTGTCAATCTGTCAAGATCACAACCACTTTTAAGAGTTTCATTAGAGAAAAGATACTGATAAACTCTTAGCCTTTTTTTATTCTTTCTATCACATTTCAAAGGTCCCTTCACACATTGGATTTTTGTAATTTACTCCTACTCACTCGGGATGGTTTATGTGATAATGGGTCCCTGGGCACAGACGTGTTAAAGGCCACCACACCTCCTACAGAAGAGGAAGAGTCACAGATTCAAAGAGACTAATTTTTGGCCGTTTTGTGTCTCCTTTTGTTTTGGATCTGTTTTTAGTCCCTTTATAGTAGTTTGATTGACCTCCCAACCATTCCCAGTAAGAAATGTTAACAGTCATTCAAACCAGAGACTCTGCCCAGTAGGCCTGTTCAATTATGCGTCCTTGGCTATCATCCTGTTTTAGAATATAACCCAATGAAGTCACATTTATAAATCTTGTTATGAATCCAAATTTCACCACTGCCACCATTCCGGACAGAGTGGAGTAAATGAATGGGTTTACAATATGATTTGATGAACACATTTTAATCTCATTTTAATGGCTTCCACGTCCTGCCCAGAGACTGTATTTGAAAACTATAAGCCCATTTAAAACTGGCACATTTACACTGATGTTACATTTACAGTGGTGTTGATCGATGGTCACTGCAGTTAACTGTGGAAGTAAAATAAATGTCAGAGCACTGAGATAGACTGAGGCACAGGTCAGCATGTTTACATTCTGGTGAAGTTAGTGCATATGGAGGTAGGATGGCCGGAGGTCACCACAAAAATTCAGATCACATGACTGGAAAAAACTATGACTCTCAAGTTGATTCACAGACTGCTAGCTAAATGTAAGTTAATGTTTTCTGATGTTACAGGTTTGTTTTATCAGTTAAGTCTTTAAAAACAGGGGTAAATCATGACCAAATCCATATTTTCAGTCTATAATTAAAAAAAATGTATGTAGATACAGTATATCTCAGCTGTATTTGGTCAAAAAAAACAAAAAAAAAATTGGGGCTTTGGCTATTCTATGCCCAGGATTCACCCTGAGCAAAGTCAGGATGTCATTACATTTTTACAGGAAACTGCCTCTCTCATTTCAAATTTTACCTGAGAATTAATTATTTGAGAGGATTCACTTCTGCCATACTATGTACTTTGACTGACAAGGAAATAGTATTTATTTTCCCGTCAAAAACAGTTTCCAAACTCGTCAAAATGATAATGTTTCTTTTCCTTTTTCTGCCTCTTCCCTCTATCTGTTTTTCCTCCTATTCTTCAGTATACCTCTTCTCTAACATACGATGGCGTCCTTGTGATGGCCGAGGCCTTCCGCACCCTTCGCCGTCAAAAAATTGATATCAGTCGCCGTGGCAACGCTGGCGACTGCCTCGCCAATCCAGCTGCTCCCTGGAACCAAGGAATAGATATGGAACGTGCACTCAAACAGGTTGGCACAATTTTGATGTTGTATGGTTTAGTGTGGATGGGTTGGCAAACAGTTAGACAGATGTTCACAAACACACACATGCACACACACACACACACACACACACACACACACACACACACACACACACACACACACTCACATACAAACACACACACATACAGTATCTGTGCCAACAAAACAGCTGGCATGGAAAAGGAGAGCATGTTCCAGAAATCCATGCTGACATTTATGTATTTTAAATTCTTGTTGGGACTTTGATGGAGAAGCCACAAGAGTCCACACACACTTAACACACAAACTTGTATTGCTATACTTATGGGGACATTGCATTGACTTCCAATCACTTCTCGGGAACCTAATATTAACAATGATAAATATTTGCAACAAGCAGTATGTGTCTTACTCTAACCTTAGCCTGGTTATAATTCTAGCCATAACTCCACAACCAAGTCTTTAATCTAAAATAGTTATGACCCAAGTTTTGATACTGTTTGCGGACAAAATTTGTTTTTCTGCAATAGCCATCCAGTGAATTTACACTCAGAGGCTTTTATTTGTTTGTTGTTTTTTTTTTTACCAGTCCTTACTATCATTGTTGCTCTGACTCCAGGTGCGCATTCAAGGCCTGACTGGGAACATTCAGTTTGATCACTATGGTCGGAGGGTCAACTACACCATGGACGTGTTTGAACTGAAGAGCAACGGACCACGCAAGGTAAACTCACCGCATGGCTAAGAAACAAAGATAAGCACCACTTTGAATGTGTGATTTGAACGCCATCGAAAACATACCACTGTCAACTTATTAAAAGCCAGTTTTTTCAGCAAATGTGACTCTTCAGCGGGAAAGTTATTTTCAATCTCTGCTGAAAGGACATGAGGTTACTGTTACTGTTTCAGTGTGTGTTGCATGTATCCCTTATGATGGTTGATTGTTAAAAATTAAAACATTTACTGCATAATTTTCTCCATAATTCTTAATTAATAACTGTCTTACTGCATTCATAAATATCTTCAAATAACTACAATTGAACCATTGCAGCTTGTGTTTTAATAGCTTTTTGGAGCAGCTCCCAGACAACCTGGGGGCACATAAAACTCTGCAGTGGCGTAAATAAGGAATATTTTAACATAATTCTTCTTCATGATTGCAAAAAGTAGGAGGATAAAGCTCCGGTTGAAAGTATTCATAATTTTTTCTTTACTGGGAAAAAAAGCATACATGTAGCTCCTACTGTATAATAAAGAAATAACACTATGTTCCAGCTACTCAAGTGTTCCTTCGACAGCAATGTGTGTTTATTGAAAGTTCTTGGCTCACGCTCAATATCTCTCAATATCTTCTACAGTTCCAATGGGAAATTTGCTGGAGTGAGCTCATTCTGTTGACTCTTTTTTTGCTTTCCATTCCTTTCTCTCCATCTCACTTAGCTTCTATTTCTTCCTTTTTTTATGTCTGTTTTATTGTTTTTTTTTCTCTATCTTGATTTTATCGTAAGCACCTTAAATTTCATATTTGTTTGAACTGTGCTATAAAGACTGATTGATTGAACTGTATTTTCATCCCGTCACTCTCATTCATATCCTCTCTCTCTTGTTTCTCCCAGATCGGCTACTGGAACGACATAGACAAACTTGTGTTGGTCCAGAATGAAAATGCCCTGTCTAATGACAGCTCAGCGATGGAGAACCGGACTGTAGTCGTGACCACCATCATGGTAACGTACCTTCTGACTGCTTTCATTTCTACATAGTTGGGGTACTGTGTGATTGTAATTGTTAAAGGATCAGCTTCACCCAAATCTCTGTCTTTCCAATTAATTCCAATTAACCACGGCCATGGAAATCTGGGGTTCATTTGCCTTAGTGGCCTCAAAAGATGTGTTCAGTGTCGGGAAACCAGGGGATACAAGCCGTGTGGCAGAATTAGAAAAAAATCAGCTTGGTACTGGATGAGCTGTACGGGTTGAAGAGAGCTCTCACAGCACAGCCAGGAGGGAGTGGCACTTGTCCAGCTGGAAGATTACACTAATGTCTCATTAGAAGGCAAATCTAAAACTGACCTCAGATCACCATTTAGGAGTGACCTCAGTCCAGTCTCTTCTAATGGCTTTCAAACAGACACCAGTCTGCAGCCCGGTTTAATTATTCCTCTTTCCTCTACCAACAAGGATAAAGGAGGGCTAATCGGTAGATTTGTGCACATCCTCTGCTTACATTTGATTTCACTTCACCCATCTGCAGCCTTTTTATGGTGGCCATCCCCTTCCTGTAAATGCAATCAGTCTAATTCAATTGGGCATGCAAAATGATGCAAGTGAAAGCAACTCAAAAGACTAATTTCAGCCCAGAGATAAAAACAAGTCACAGATGCTTGAGCTTCAGCGGTTCAGTATTTTGTTTCAAGGCACATTGCTTCATCCAGCAAACTCATAAGTATGTCCAAAATATCTGTCATTGCACTTAAGGAAATGTCACGATGTGAGCAAATATCTAAAAGACTGTTCAAAGCTTTTGCCTTGATAATAAAGTGCCCCCAGTGGTCAGACACAATAGTAACCAGTCAGGTCTGCACCGAGGAAAACAACCACACATGCTGCAGGAAAGGCTTCAGAAAAATGAATTCAGCTGCACTAAATGTCCCCAGTGACAGCCCCACCTCCAGACACGCACACTTCAACTGGCAATGTATTAAACGCTGCTGCAGTGTGTGCTGTGGTGCCTAGAGCCAGACCCAAGACAAGCAAATACAAACACATCAATGCAGTCAAATAAATTAAAAGGCAAGTTGTTATTCTGTTACAAAAACCTATTTCGAATACATGTCTATTATGTTAATAGAAAATTGTATCAGACTGTTGTTGTTCGTATGGCTGTTTGGCTTGTGTTTCTAATCACATTCATTGTGTGTAGCTGTAAAAGAGATGAGTGTGTAAAATGGGGAGTCTAAACTCATACCGCATACATCTTTTCGAAGTTTGTTCCTTCCCTGTTTTTTGCACCCCTCCCATGTCTGTCTGTCATCTGACTTTTTCCAACGCTGCTATCCCTTCGCTCTCTCTCTCTCTCTTTCTCTCTCCCTCTCTCACCGTGCCTTGCTGTCTTTCTTTAACTCCACCCATCTCTTCAACCCCCCACAAGCCCCTCGTTTTTACCTCCATGCCTCCCCCACCTGCATATTTTTCTGTGGATGGTGACCTCAGCAGGCCTTGGCTAATGTTAGCTCAGCCACCTCCTCCTCTTTGCAGCCTCTGATGATGAGGAAGCCTCTGCTGCGACACTGATGGCGGGTCTGCAGACAGAGCAACAGACTGACAAGCAGACTCACCTGAGTTGCAAACCCTCGGGAAAGACAGAGGACAGACAGACTGATAGACTGAGTGTCTCTAAAGCTCTATACAAGGACACAGTGTGCTCTGTTTTCGTTTCGTCATGATGCCTTTTTTTTTTAATGTCTAATTTGTTTGAAAAGATGATTTTTAATTTTTTTTTGTATGGAAATGATTTCTTTGTTTAGAAGTGGTTGGCACTGAGCCTGTGTGTGAGACACCAGGATGCCTTGCTCACTGCGCTCCTGTCTTCCTCCCATGACAAAAGCCACAGTCGGACAAGAGCTCTGCGAGGGATTCTGTGGCCGCTGTCAAGATTTGACATTCAGCTGTGCAAAATCACCAGACCATTGGACAGGCCTGTTAATTCAGATTCTTTCACTCTTTCTGAGGACACCACAATCACCACCACATTCTCTGTTACACTATAGAGCACCTGCAGGAGGAATTACCTCAACAAATTATTTCTATGTTTTCTTTTACTTTTTTCTTTCTTTTTGGGAGGAGAGTGACACAAGGGCAGGTGTTCGTGTCAGTCCTGCATTTTGCAGCCCTCACCTTTTGATACCACTCTCCCTCCATCTTCATCTTTCTGCTCCGTCACTCTGTAAATCTACTCAGTCATGCCTACTCAGTCAACTTTCCTCTGCTGCATTTCAGTTGCTCTGAGAGGGTTTCTGAATCCTCACATCTGGATGAAAGGGTAAAGTGGAGAAGCTCTTTTAGTTTTGGGTATTCAACACTAACACTTGCAGAAAGATTTGAAATTTGAAATTGAAATGACACCGTTATTTATGTTTTAACCTGTGTTTGATGTTACTTTCATACTGACGTTGCAATTGTTTTTTTTAACTCTAAAGGTGTGAAAGTATAATATGTTCAAAAAACTCTCCTGAAAAACACATTGATGTGACACTGTTGCCATCACCCAAATGACAAATGAGAAGGGATACTGTACATACACACATTTCCACAAAAGCTTATCTGCTGGTCATTCATACATGCAGGCTCGTAAGCCTTCAAGTAATGTATACACATGCATGTATAAAACACATGCACATTTACTCAATTAAAGTCAGTATGAGCAAAGTGCATTGGTAGGGATTGATTGTTAAGCCTGTTTGAATTTGCCTAATGTGCACTCGCAGGGCTTGTTAACTCTTAACACAGCCCCTGTGGATATGACAATCGTTTGTTTCTGATGTATCTGACTACTAATAAGTTAAATTAGCCTTTAAACTTTCCTCCATGGTATATTTATAATCTCCTCTATACGTAGACGGTACATGATTTGCATGATTTTATAAAATACGTCAAATTGTATAAAAGAGAAGATAAAATATACAAGCTTCTGAAAATGTTGGCTTTGGAAAAATATTCTCCAACCAACCAACTGCTACAACCAAGACTGTGACTAACAAAAAGTATTGTGTATGCTGGTTTAAGAGGGAGTTTTAAAAAAGGCTGACAGGTTGATCTACTAAGTGGTTGGTGACTCTGTTAACATGCTGAACCAAAGGTTAGACAGACAACCAGGCATGTTTTGGACTGGCTGGTTTGTTGCCTGATCAACTGACTTACTTAGCAGCTGACTGGCTTGTGATTGCCTTTATGGCTGGCTGACTAATTGGGTGTAAAGCTGTTTTACTAGCAAGTTGACTTGGTGACAGATCAACTGACATGGTGACTAACAGACTGGGTAGTGGATTGGCTGACTGACTGTTGACTGGTCAAATGACTGATTGCTGAACTGCCTTTCTCCCTTAATGACTGAATAGCTGGGAGATAATCATGCTGACTCACTGGCCAAATATGTGACTGGATAGATAATTATGTACTGTAACCGCAGTAATTAATTAATGAATGAACTGATTGACCAACTGACTGAATCAAACGGACTGTGACTAACCGACTGCCTGGCTTGCCTCCCCCCTGCATCTAAATGAATGCCCGCAGGCTGATTAAATGTTTCTGTGGTTGGCTAACTCGTTATGTGACAGTCTGGCTTTTTAAATGCTGAACTGATTGAGTGTCCAGTTGGCAGCCTGAATGAATGACTGGACAGTTAGGTGACCGTCCAGTTGGGTGCCTGTATTTTTCATTGGCTGGCTAACTGGCTTACATAGCAAGTCCTGTCTGCCTTTTTGGCTCCAGTGTGAAGTGTTTCATGTCTTATCAGCCCCAACCATTTGCTTCTACAAAGCCATTCTCCCTCTTTCGCCCACCCATTTTCCCTCTTTACATCTGTCTTTTTTAGCCCATCCCCTCTCTCTCTTTCTCTCTCCCTTCCTTTCCATTTTTCATTTTGTCATATTCTCCCTTTCTCTTTATCTCTCCTTCTCACTTTCCCTTTTTTTTTCTGTTTCTATCTGTCGTCTATTCTCCCCGTAGCTATCTCTGTTTGTATTCTGATCTGTGCCTTCATCTTTCTTCTGTAGTTTCATGCAGCCAGCACACCACACGTCCCTCTCTCCAGATGCTTTTCCACCAATTTCTCTTCCCAATTCGCTCCCTTTCTTTTCCTTTCAACCTCCTGATCTTTAGCCCCTCTTTTCTCTGCTCTTTTTCACCTTTCTTTTTTTTTTGCCATGCTCTGACTCATGATGCCACATTACACCAAAACATGATGCTTTCCTCCCAGCAGTAGCTACGTGCACTAACATCCAGTACACACACAAACACAACCACACACAGCGTTGGCATTACTACCTTCACACCGAGACAAAAGCGTCTGGGGCAAACTGATAAACCAAGGATCCTTTAAAGTGAAAATGTGCCACTGTTGGCAGAGCTCCCATTGGTATGTGTGTGTCTGTATGTGTGTGTCTGTTTATGTATAGTTGCTTACATTGTACTAAATTAAGTCAACAAAGTAGCCTGATCTGATTTCAAACACTTGACCTTCTAACAACCTGTGGGTAATTTGATGAAGGAGGAAACAGAGATGGCTGCATTCTGCTAAGATAAATTAAGGAAATTATTCCCCTTGAGATTCACTGATTTAAGGTGGAAAATTAAGCAAAAAAGCACTTAAATTTTTTATGGCTCCTGACAATCACAATCTTCCTCTGTAGAATCCAGACATTAGATATGTGGAGGTCAATAATCAATACAAAGCACCTGTTTGTGCTTCTGACATGGAGAAAATCAGAAATCATCTTTTACATTCCAGTGCAAATTATAGCTGTGAATGAATATGCTTAAAGGATTTTAATTTTGCTGAGAGTTTGATGAGAAGATCATATCTAGCTGGAGCTATCAGCCGGTTAGCTTAGCTTAGCACGAAAACTGGAAATACAAAAATCTGTTTATTGGCACCTTTAAAGCTCACTAATTACAACGTTATAGTTTGTGTTTTTAAAAGCTATTGTATGTAACTTTTTTAAAACAAATTTTTTTAGTTGAAATATGCCCCAAAACATATCTCGATGTTAACCTTTATAACCAATCAGAGAATCAGTTGATAATCAATATGTGAACACACTTCTGGTCTACCACTCTTCTTGTATGTGCTGTATCTGAGTCTAAGCTAGGGGCAGTGACTTCTGCCAGTTTGCCTATCAGTCTCATTGTGAAGACAAAACTCGAGGACAAGACTCCTGCAGTCTCTGTGATAAATGAAGCTAACCGTCTCCTCGCTGTAGCTTCGTATTTAGCAAACAGATATGAGAAAGGGACTCAATTTACTCATTTAACGCTCAGCAAGAAAGCTAATAATTATATTTCTCAAAAGGTTGAACTATTCCTTTAAAATTTACCATGATAACTGTGAAATTAATATTAATTGCCCCAGGATCTATTGTATATTTTATATTTATATATAAAGCTGGTGTTTTCTATCACCTAATGGATTGGGAGAAAAAAAAAAGTCTGTATAAAAAAATGTCTGTTCATGGCTCCAGACTCTTGAATTTGCGTTTCATTGTACAGTCTGCCCAGTACGGCAGCATTTTAATGTTTTTTAACTAACATCATTGGTTACAGTATTATCATTCATTCTTCATGACTTGCTTAAAAAGAACCTAAGCTTAATATTCCCTCATAATAAAGTCTAATTTGCTTTTATTTTGTAGAAAGTTTCTGGTTTATCTTTGACTTTGTGTTCATATGGAGTTGTTTTTGTAGAAGCATGCACCAAATGTCACAGGCAGCTTAGTGTCATTCACCTGAGGAAAGGCACCAAGTAATCTCTGCCACAAAATTCAACCATGTTCTCTCACAAACTGTAAAGTCACATTTTTGTCAGTAGTATTTGGTTGGTCTTTGCGCAGTTTATATGGTTGGAATAGTTTATGATTGCAAAACAGTAAAAACTGAATTGAAAAAAAAGAAATGTAATCATTCACTATATAGGTTACATTTTTAAATCAGCGGGGTTGTACTTTAAAACATGTTTTTCTGCTCGCATCTTAATTTCTTTTTGTCTTGATCCCTTCTCCAGAGCAGTCTTGATGGCTGTGTTGATCTATTAGAGGGAATTTACTTGGAAATGTTTTGCTGTTCATTAACACTATGATTCATGTTGAGTCAATGGAATGAGCGCCCCGGGACCTGCTAATGGCTCTGATAATGACATTTTAGGAGAAACGCTTTTGTATATTCTGACACTGAACACAATGGGCCCAGTTTTTTTTTTTGTATTTGATGATGAAGTGTTTGAGAAAAATGTTCAGCTTAAATGAAGAACTGAATTCTTATTTCTGTGGTTGTTTTTCAAAGACGTGTATTTTGTTTTAACAAATGTTATAATGATGACTGAATAATGGTTTCTGAGAAATATGGTAATGTATTGCTTTGGGTGTTTTTGTTTCTTTTAAAATGTGTGTCTCTTTCTCAACCTTTCATATGTAAATTTAAGATTATTTTTATTACTCGAAAAGAGGAAGAAAACTGAGGCCCTGTTCAGACCTGATATTAACATCCACTCACACGTGGACAGTTCTAAGTCTGTTAGTTCACACCCGGCATTAAAATGCGTCTCCACATGCGTCCGAGTAACCACTTGTGATCGGATCTCACTTCTCCGCTCTATATGCAAATAAACATGTGCGTAATTTCTGTTTGCAAAGACCAAATGCGTTGTTGTTTTTAGCCAGTTTGACTATGACAAACGGGTCCATTGTTAATGTGTTTGTGTGTGTGTATGAGAGACAGAGAGGAGGAGGGGCTGAGTGAATCAATGCATTGTCCACAGCTCCGCAATGAAATACGGTTTTAGTCATTTCAAACAGTAAAAAAAAAAAAAAAAAAAATAGAAAATCAATATGTGACAGTCAATGTTGATATTGTGGCAGCCACAAATAAATCAGTGTATGAGAAACACTGTGAGAAGTGTAAAACTATTTTTGGTTCATTATGAAACTGTGGTAGGACTAATTAGACTGTGGCAGAGGACGTCAGTTGAGTTACATTCACACCACATGTCGCTGAGACCACCTCCAAATGTCGTCCAAATGAGTGATTGGATCTCACATGCGTCCTCAGTGCGTCCTCGTAGCGTCTCGGGTGCATTCACACCTGTACTCAGAGCTGTCTACCGGAGACACGTGATAATTCCAGGTGTGAACAGAGTGTGAATTATTAGGTAGAAAATGAGGCTGAACTTTCTGGATTTAAAAAACAAGAAGAATCAACATTCATGCTCGTGGCTCTGTGAGGCTGTATGCCTTTTGCACAGCGGCGTTTTTAGCTAAATGCTAATGTCAGAATGCTAACATAGTCAAAATGGCAATGATGGCATGTTGATGTTTATGAGACATGATGTTTACCATGTTCACTCTCTTAGTTTAGTGTGTTAGCATGCTGACATTTGATAATTAGCAATAAACAGAGGGAATGTAATCAGTTTTGCAGGTGTTTGGTCACAAACTAAAGTACGTGACAAATATTTTTACATACAATATTTTTAGTACATTGACTATTTATTTAGAAAATAATTTCTCCCTAGTTTACCTATTGGTTATACACAAGTATGAAAGGTAATGGTTACATTTCAAACTCCTTACTATAGAGAAAGAAAATCAATTTCGTAATCCAGCTTCCCTTTCTAGGTTTTGTTTGTGTTACTCAGTTTCAATTGTATGATTTTTTAAACCCTCTGCCTGTCTTGTTCTTTACTTGCTCTCAATGTAATTCAGTTTAAACACCAGATGAAGATTTCCTGTTGCCTCTGTAACAGTCATTTTAATGCTCGTTTGACACCTTTTAAAACATGTCTGTCTAAAAATCCCCTTTGATTTCACTCTTCTTGTTTCCAATGTGAACCAATTTCCTGAATGAAGAATTCAATACAAAACATGTTATCATTTTTTATTGTGTTTTATGATCTCCATAAACCGTTTCATAGCTTGGGAGTGTTGGATATTATAAAAGCCTGCTTGATTAATTAGATGAGATTAGTCTTTGATTAAAAAGGGTTTGATAGCATTTTAATAGGCTTGGTTTCAGTTGGATTACAGGATGAGCAGCCTCAGGCATAAAACCATAACTCACTGCTCCTGATGGATATGCTGTCACTCAAAAGTCTGTTTGTGTGTGTGTGTGTGTGTGTGTGTGTTTCTTTCCCCTGTACAAATCAGAGCCACTGTAATGTGTGTGCTATTTCTGTGTGATCATGTAGATGCCTGTGTCTGTGTGCATGTGTCATTCATAATGCACTCACCATCTCACAAGGCAACATTAAACTCTGCCCTTGCTTTCATCTTTGTTAACTGCACGCACAGCAATCATTTTACCTCTTACCACACATTATCAAAGCAGCAGTCGCCCTCCCTTCCTTCTTCTTCCATCCTCTCTCTTGTACATTTCTCTCCTCTCAGCGTAGGTGTTGTTCTGAGTCAGGTGAAGGTCCCAGTGGAGTCATGTAGAGTCAGACAAAGGCATAAAACAAGGCAGTGGAAGTCAGAAATACAAGATATAAAACATCTACCTCAGACATGGCCTTTTAAAATCCAGCTCTAATATTTGTTCCCTTTTTATAAACTGTGCAGCAGTTTTTGTCAGGTTTTGGTGGCTGTTGTGTTTTCTTGACAAGATAGGTTACCTGAGAGACGTCCGTCTCCTTTAACAGTTTAAAAACATTCACATGTGACTTTTATATTGCCTTTATTGTCCTACATCTGCGGTAAAATTAGTCTCCCATGACAATGTGCATATATAGTTTTGATTTCTAATGTTTTGATCAAAATTCTGCTTTTATATCTGTTGGTTTTCAGGTTCATTTCTTACAGTAGAATTGAATTCTGTCAGCAACATTGCATTGGTGTATTGCATAGAGCTGTGCCCCTCTGTGTATGATAAAAAAAAAAAAAGTAATATAAGTTTCTTTTGAAAATGTATGTACCTATATTTTTTCAGAGAAATCATTTTCATTTTTGTCATTTTTCTTTGTATGTGATTTTCCCTGGTGCAGTGTTTACAACCAAACTGTGGGCTCCTCTTGATAAATTTTCATTTCCCTTCTTTTAATAAGCGTTGCTGTCATGTTCCTCCAAACAGTTGTGTCTTTCTCCCCTTATGCTGGTTTTGTAGGAGGGTCCCTACGTGATGCTAAAGAAGAATTGGGAGCTCTATGAAGGCAACGACCAATACGAGGGATACTGTGTGGACTTGGCTTCAGAGATTGCCAAACACATCGGAATCAAATACAAGATCTCCATTGTACCGGATGGGAAATATGGAGCCAGAGATCCAGAGACGAAGATATGGAACGGCATGGTCGGAGAGCTCGTGTATGGGGTAAGTTTGGATGGAAAATATCTGGACTTTATTGATTTTTTTGTCAGTAGCTTTTGTGGTCAATTATTTCATTTTTTTGTCTCTATCTCTATCTAAAGCCAGAAAAGTGTTCCTATCAGGAGATGTCAGCTCCAAAAGATGACGATGTCTTCTAATTGCTGTTAATCCAATTCAATTCAACTTCAGTTTATCTATAGTGCACATCACCCAAAGAGTCTCTGGCATTCCTTACAGGATAAAATACATTACAAACATTGGTTACTGTATTACAACAACAGGATTGAAGTTAAGAAATTATTAGAAAGTTCATACAAAAACAATAGAATAGAAAAAAAATTGGTGTTGGTAGTTGCCAAAGCATCAGTCAGTTGAATGTTTACCCAACTTTCAAAAGCAGGAGGGAGAATAGCACGGAGACAAAAGATGAGTTTTACAGTAAACCTGGGTAAGCGATTATTTGATTACCATGATAGTTTAAAATTAATTTTCTATCATTTGTCTTACAGATTAATTTCAAGATGTTGTGTTACAGCCCCATTTGAAAAAGTGGATTCAATCTCTACTTCATGTCAATAATCTATACACAATAACCCATAATGTAATATGTTCAAATATTTATGAAAATGTACTATAGAGGATAGGGGAATATAACAGGTTCAACTTAACCACATACTGCAATGCAATCCAGTACAGCAATATCACACATTTTGGGCACAGAAAATGTGTTGTATCAACACTTCTGTAGCAACAGTTCTTCAATATTGTAATCTTCATAGAGGTCATATGTACTGCAGGGCTATTACATTGAATTTTATTTGATCCAGCTATTGTGACCCCGCCATAGTCGTTCACGCTGAGCTGAGGAAGGCTCAAAATAACTCTCATGTTGGACATTAACTCTCTGAGCTCTGCGTCTCCTTAGTTACCGTGTCAGTCTGCCGCAGAGATGCTGTGTCTGGAAGGCTACGCTTATTTCTTGAGAATTTTGGCAAGCGTGCTAATTATGCCATTGACGCCCTTGCACAGTCTGGGATTTCACATCGCTTGTCTCAATGCAAACTTTATCAGCATGCAGAAAACAATGTCAGTCGTCACTTTGCGGAAGAGTGAAAGTGGAGACGTTGCTGCAGAACAGCGACAGAATTAATTAGCCTCCAGAATCCGTATAGTGGAAGGTGACACAGCAGAACGGCTACATTGACTAATCAGGTCTGATTTGTTCCCAACACTCGCCGTCCTTTCCAATGACTCCTCTGCCACATAGGGAAGATTTCAGCCCTTTGTCCTCCACGTCTCTTCACAGTTGCCTTTATATCTTTATGTCCCTTACTTTATGTTTATCTGTGTGACTTTCATCTCCTTTTCTTTCATGTTGTGTACTTTTGTCTCTCCTGCTGTCTTGCTCTAATTTATTTCATCTCCCTCTGTTGTGCATTGTGGGTTGTTTTTTTTTGTTGTTTTTTTGATATTTCTCTGCCCTCTCCTCCCCTGTTTTCTTTCCATATCGCTTCTGATTTCCTTGTCTTTCTTTTGCTGTTTATTCTCCGTACATCGTAACATCTTCACTCCTTGTAGAGAAGGAGGTTATTTGATATGCTGTTATTGTCGCCTCTTTTTCCGTTAAGACTGCAGACACTGTTTAGACACACTTAGCTTCTCAGAAACAGATACTCAGTGTGCTGAATGAATGATGTTTTTGACTCTTACAGATTTCGTGTGTGTGTGTGTGTGTGTGTGTGTGTGTGTGTGTGTGTGTGTGTGTGTGTGTGTGCGTGTGTGTTTGTGTGTGCGTGCGCGTGCGTGCGTGTGTGTGTGTGAGCACACATGCAGATGTGGATGAGCTTGCTGACTAATTTATATTCTGGCAGTGTCACTTTCATGCCTATGTATGAATTACTTCTCTGTCATTCTACTGGTTTTCCCTGCAGCTCTACTCTCTCTTTCAACCCCTTCAATCTCCCCCGTCTTCTCTCATCCACAGCACCAATTCCCCTTCTTTGCCTCCCTTATTTCCTCCATTTCCTTCCCTGCGTCGCTCCTGCTTCAAACTCCACTTATCCTATACTGATCTTGTCTACTATACCTGCTTTTTTATTTCTCCTCCTCCTTCTTTTATCTTTCTCCTTCTAAAGACATCAGAGTTCACAGACTCTTTTGCATGTAGTTGCTGCAAGTCTCCTGCACTACCACATCATTAAACTACACAAAACACATTCTTCTCTCCCCACCCCCTCTTTTTTTGCAGAAAGCAGAAATCGCTGTGGCTCCGCTGACCATCACTCTGGTGAGAGAAGAAGTGATCGACTTCTCGAAGCCCTTCATGTCTCTGGGTATCTCCATCATGATCAAGAAGCCCCAGAAGTCTAAACCAGGCGTTTTCTCTTTCCTGGACCCACTGGCCTACGAGATCTGGATGTGCATAGTGTTCGCTTACATTGGAGTCAGCGTCGTGCTGTTTTTGGTGAGTAATTGTTGAAGACTAGAAATCAGAGGATGAGCTGGGTGGACTGGACTGTAACAGTTGGAAGAGTTATTAAAGACTTGGGTTCAGAGATGAAAGTGTAGCGCTCTTATTTAGTTTCCTGGGTAAAAAAAAAAAACAAAATTCAGAGTCAGTGAGCTACAGCATGTGATCCTAATAGGTCACATTTCCATCATCAATATAGATAGAGGCGATGAGATGACTTCTTCTTTGCATGGCAGGTTTTAATGTTACATGCCCTTTTATGATGACATAATAACCTGGAGTGATCATGCATATTGATGCTTCTGAGAATACACTGTCTGGATGTTTTACAGATTCTTAAAACCCCTCAATAAATTCATGCAGTTAATCATTTTTCAAGTATGTTGACATCGTCTTTATCTTCCTCAGCCTCAATGTGTTTTACAGTGTTTCAGAAAGCTTTTGTCCAGGAAATCATTAGCTACTTAAAGGCATCCTGTCTGCATAGAAATCACATCACAGACAGCTCTGTATGCAAGCCATGCAAATATTTAATGAAAGATTTAAGAAATGCAAGTTCACATTTTCGAGGTCATGTTGGCATTAATCCTGTGATACCACAGTGTCTGCATATTCAAGGAGACATTTTTCTCTTCCTAGAAATTCGCCCTCTCTGGTTTTGTTTGTGTTATTTAGCCGTTACGATCATCGCTGAACAAATTTGTCGCTCTGTTCATTTGCTTCTGTCTGTATAAGGCCTTAAATTCCTTTTTATTTGCTATATTGATATATCTCCACAAGTCTTTTGTCTTTTATAGACCTATACGATCTCCATCATCTTTTCTTTTCCTTTGCTGTCCCAGGTGAGTCGCTTCAGTCCGTACGAGTGGCATGCAGAGGAGCCAGAGGAGGGTGCCCCGGAGCAGGGTCCCACTGACCAACCGCCCAACGAGTTTGGTATCTTCAACTCCCTCTGGTTCTCACTGGGAGCTTTCATGCAACAGGGCTGCGACATCTCACCACGGTAAGGGAGGTGGAATGGAGTGTGCGAGACAAACAGAGAGCATTTGTGAATGCACGAGTCAGACAGACATAGAATGAAAGTATTTGAGTCAGTAGGCAGGAGTGTTCATAAGAGTGCGTGTGGGCTGGGAATAGTGTGTGCGTGTGTGTGTGTGTGTGTGTGTGTGTGTGTGTGTGTGTGTGTGTGCGTGTGTGTGTGTGTGTGTTTGTGTGTGTGTGTGGGTGTGTGTGTTTGTCTAACTGTCTGCAATGTTAGAGTGCTGTAGTATTAGGCTTTGGTGATTCAGACTGTTGACAATGTGAATCACCTCTCTTAGCACTTTACTGGCTTTCACTGAACTGGACTGATACTCCAAGACACCGTGTGCTACAGAAGCTTAAGATGTGCTATAAAGGCACATACACAGACACAAGCATGAACACACACACACACAAAAACACAAAAGTGAGAAGAAACCACCTGCACACAGTCCAGCGGTTCATGTCCATATGGGTGCGCAATGGTGGGAGATTTAGCGGGTTTTCTAGGTGTGTATGAATTTTTAATGTACCACTGAAGAGGCAGAGTCCAGCTGTATTTTTAGAATATTTATAAGAATATGGCATTTTATTATTGATAACCTGAGAATGCAGTTTAGTGAAATATTCATGGCCGTCATCCTCAAGACCTTTAGGGAGCAAATCTAAGGAGAGAAGGAGCAGTTGGGAGAGCGTCCGTCCAAAGCAAATGACAGAAAGGAGTGATAGGTGATGAGCTGAAAGAAGGAAAAAGTGTGAGCTGTTCAGCAAAATGTTCTTGAGACAATAATAAGAATTGGTTGCAGATATGTGAATGGACACTTCTCACTTCATCATAGAGGTGGAGATGAAGCAGTTGGTGGTTCGTATTGTGCTGTAAGACAAAGATGAATAGTTACAAATGAAGATTTACTTTTAATACACACAGTTTTGTTTCACGTTTTTGATTCTGTGCCTCTAACAGGATAATGTGCTAATTCTTTTTTTAGTGACCTTAATGAGAATCAGTTGTTTGGCCCTTAATGTGCGCACTGATTCAACATGTTATAATGAAAACACTGTCTGTGTGGACAAGAACTTCATTCTTTTCTTTCTATTTGTTCCAAACAAACGTCTGTTGTTGCTCTCAAACATTTTTACTGCATTCCCATTAGCACTTCTCGTTCGAGAAAGGTACAAAACTTCAGCTGCCCAAACTTTGTTTTTGTCCCCATTCTTTTGCTCCTCTGCCTTTCTCTTTTGCTCTCTCATCCATCTCGTTCACTCTCTCTCTTCTCCCCCCTCCACGACACCTGTCGTCTCCCACTCCTCCCCACTTTACTGTGACTGACAGGCCAATTCTAGCCCCAACACACAAAATGGAAAACGCCCACACCACCTGCACTCAGCCACACTCACACAAACACGCACGATGTGCACATAAATACACAGAGGCTTCGCACACTAACGTTGCTTGCACACGCATATGCGGAAAAAAAAACACCCAGTGCGCAGTTTCACAACAACCCAACACACATGCAGACCTTTCTCTCGCTTGAAGGCCCTGTTATAGATGTGTGCACATAAGCTACAGCTGTCAACTCAATGATGTGATACTAAACATGAAGTCAGTGTTCATCATGTAAATCACCCCCCCCCTGTCACTTCCAATACAGCACAACTCCTCTATAGGTAAGGATTACTAAAGTCATAAATGCCAGATCATATTCTTACAATGTGAAATCTGTCATTTACACACTTTTTCTTCCTCTTGTTCTTTTTGTTTTCTTTACTGGACTTTTCAAACAAGAAAAGAGGTTTCAAAGTGAACTTTTCTCATCTTAGATGTCTTTCTCATAAAAAACACAACAATAATAATTCATCGTGTCGATTCAAAGGCTGGCACTGCAGCGGTATTCAGTGGCGTGACTCTGTTTCCAGGACGATCAGGGAGTAAATTGATGGAAACATTTATTTGAATTGTGATATGAAACTCCCTGGTGTGTGCACAGCAGAGGTTTGGAGATGCATAGCATTTAACTGCAATATAGAGACATTCTATCAAACATAAGTTAAATTACTGCTCCATAATAAGGAGGAGGAGGCTGCGGTGGAGGAGTGAAAGCACATAATGATGGCTAACAAAAAAATAATGCTCAAACATTGACTCCAAACCATAAATTAAATACACAACATTTCAGTCGCACTCATTTTTAAATGAAAGTGTGGTTTGGAGTCACCGCACAGGACTTATTTTTTCATTGATACTTTTTTCAATTAACCCTCCACCTACATGTGTTGTGAACATGATTCTTCCTCACTGATGGCAGCATAGGAAATAAAAAGCAGGATCACACTGTACAGCAAAGGGTTCAGTATGCTTGAAGCAAACTAATTCATAGAGCATGATATCTGACCATGTCTAAAAAGCAAGAGCGTTGAAAGAGAGGTGTGAGATGCAATGAATTATATGCTGTACATCATGAGGTCAATCATGGTGTTGCATTTAGCTGTACAGCTGCCTTTCTCATCTCCACACACCTGACCACTTGCTGTGTTAAAAGTGGACATGCATGTCCTGTTGTCATATGGACATTCGGAAAGTTGTCAGATGCAGTTCCCAAAATTCCAGTGTTGAGGGAGAGGGTTTAAGACACTGTTAGAAGATTTGATAAGCACTTTGTTTTAAGAATACTGAGGCTTTAAGACTATGCAGGATACAATTAGTTTTACAGGGTCTCCAGATGTCATTGTCATTATTGATAACCATCCAGGTCAGATGACATGACTAAAGCTCCCTGCCTGAACAACAACACTTGTCACTGTTTCTCAATGGCTCTAAGGCGAATGTAAACGAAACACAAATGGAGTGATGCTGCACTCATTACACTCTCTGCTCGTTGCAGCACATTCCCAGCGCACTCGTCTGGTTTAATCTGTCTTACTTAAACTGCTACACCACTCACTGTGAGCATTGCTACATCATCATCATCATCATCATCATCATCATCATCATCATCATCATCATCATCATCTTCATCACCATCACCATCACCACCACCATTCTGCTTAGGTACAGCGTTTAATCAGCCTCACCTCCACCCCAGCATCCACCTGTAGCCACTGATTGTAGTCAAGGAGTCTGAGGGAAGGGAAAATTGTTATCATCACTCCCCGGGCTTAAGTGTGTGCTGCAGGGAATGATGAGGCTTGACTGACTTGCTCAGACATCAAACACTTGACTGTACCTCGTACTCACATAAAACCAGTCCACATAAACTGAGTGACTGGAACACCTAAGTAATGACACAATTTATGATTATGCAAGAAGAGGCAGAAAACTCAAAAGAGGTCATGTTCAAAGAGTTAAATTAAGTTGTTCATCAGATTAATTGATAAAGAAATTGAATAAGCCTGCAGACCAGAATTTTCTGCCTTAAAACCGTGTGATGGATGAGCCTCCACTGTAAGAGTGTGCTCCGCAGAAACATGAGATCAAGTCCTTAGAAAGGGAGACCTGTCATGCATATCATCATGTCATATCATTTTTTCTTTCCCTTCTGTACATTTCCTTTAATCTCTCATTCCTTTGTTCACCTCTGCAGGCAGGTAAAGTCATAATGCTAACTTCACTGACAGCAGAGATGTGCCGTAGCTCCAACAAAGACAAAGCTATTATCAAATAGCAAGACATGTTCCTGCTGCCCGTACGACTCCTTCAAGTTTCCTATAACTGAAATAGCTAGTGTTTACATTAAGAACATAGTAGAGAGCAATGTCTACAAACAACACACTGAACTAATTTCTCATAAAGAAGAACACACAGAATTGGAGATCATTTCTCTTTTGATCAATCATAGAGCATAACACTCTTCTGTGCGGTGTGTAATACAGGTGCAATTTTACATGGGAATTTAGGCTAGCGGAACCTCACTCCCTGTATGCGTCAATGATCAAGTAAATTAAAATGTTTAGTATTTAAAGTATTTAAAAATACTACAAAAGGTGGAAATAGTGAAGAATTAATTGGAAATGAGGATGCACCACTGAACTGGCGCTATATGAGTTTCAATGCAATGAAAGTATCAAACTACAAATTAATCAGCTATTTTATTTATGTTTTGTTTTTTTACATTAGTCCTGTGATCTGCTGATTTAATTGACGTTGACTGAGACGTCCTGATCTGCAAGTATCTGAAAACACTCTGTACTTTGCAGTGTGGTAACTGCTGCAGTGTTGAGGTTGACTTTTACTGTGGAGCTGGGAATAAATGGAAAGTAGGCAGCCTCTACCAGAAGAGATTTTCTAGCAGACTACATTGAATGCCCTCCTGTCTATTATATATGTTGATTTCTGAATGCGTTTGTGTCTGTATGCTTTACAGTCATTATTTGTGTTTTTCTTAGGGAAGTACACATCCTCTTCTTGTTTTATCTGTCGTCCCACTCTGTCTTATAACCTTCATGAGCATCTGTCGGCCAACTGGTCCATGTGTTGAGACTTGTGTTGTTTGACTTTATACGCTGTGTATATGTGTGTGTGTGTGAGTGAGACTGTGTGTGTGTTGTGTATTGTGTATTGAGCTGCAATAGTAGGTCCATTGATATTCAGTGTGGGTCCCTCTCTCCTTGCTGCAGTCATCTCTGCAGTCTGGGGTCTGGGAGACACAGTGTAACACACACTCCTACTCAACTCTCCCACTATCTATCTATCTATCTATCTATCTATCTATCTATCTATCTATCTATCTATCTATCTATCTATCTGTGTGTGGTGGCACATGAAACACTTCTTTCTCTAAGAAGCTTACATGCTCTGTCTCTTGCAGACACACCAACTTGTGTTCCCTTCACCTTTCCAATCAAGCAGAAGGTAATCGCAGGCAGCAGACATGAACGCACACACTCACACTCATTGTCAGAGTGACCTTGAGTTGGCATTTGCACCATCCACCTGTCATTTTTCAAGCCCAGGCTTTTGAGTCCTTAATATCGGTGATGGAC